CAGCAGTGCTGAGAATTTTCTCTTGACAATTTGCTACACCTAAGTGAAATACATTCAATTGGAAAGTACAGGTTTAGCAAACATCTTCTGTTCAGAAAGCAAGAAAGGCTACAAATCCAACTTTTATCGAACTGTGAAATCAGTAAATTCCACTAAAAAAACTGGGAAATAACCTTGTTAAAAATTTTGAAGACTTTTAACCCTTGTTGGTAGGACACAACTTCTTTAATGCAATAGCCACCGTAGCACTTGGTGGAGAATAATTTTGTTCTTTGTCAGGCACGTAGCAACCCTGATATAACCAGTGACTGAATTCAGTCTTTTTTTCCAATATTTCTGGGTGTCTCATTTCTGGGTGTCACAATTGGTCTGATATGAATGGGAATGTTTTAATGGCATAAGTTCTCATTTTAGACTGCTTTTCATTGCTATAGTCCAGATCCTGGTCTCAGTGAAGGAAATGGAAATGTCTAGGTGGCTTAAACACGAGCAGTCTTTGGATCTCAATCAGTTACAAGTCAATACAAAACTTAAGAGCCTTACATTGGCAGGTTATATCAATTCTCTGCTCCCTCTGTGTTCTCAGCTGATTCTCTTTTCATTCTGGAGGCTATGAATTACGTTTCTTTGAAGCTCTTTTTTAGCACTTCAGAATCTCATCCACCACTGGTTGGTTTAGTAAAGCGCACCTTTTTCCAGAACTAAGTGTGAAATCTGCTTTGTGATAAATATCTGATGGTGCAGGAGCTCTGGGCTTGCTCCCAAGCTAAATTCATTTATATTGCAGCAAAACACCTGCCTCTGTGTCATCACAAAAGCAGCTCCCTATTGTAAAGCACAATTCAGTCTCTCAGACAAGATTCAGATTCCCTTTTTCCCCCCCCTCTGCAGGAGAGGAACAGATGTCCTTAGCAGCCAAAAGGAGCTTCCTCCCTCCTCATCTACCCAGCTTATATTTCCAAGTCATGAGCCCTAAAACTCTTCAGAGTCAATCAGCTAGGTTTTACTGTTTCCATGACACCAGTCCCTTCCCACAGCCACTCAATGCTCAGGATAATTACTTTACATGACACCTGCTGACTGGAAGTGGCAGATTTACACTAGGATTGTATCCAGGGTCTCCATATATCCAGCCCAGCTATCACTGTGATGGGTCCCTCTGGATCAGCAGTACACCACACCAGTCATGGGACACAGACCCGGCTCCACAGCTTCCCACTTGTCTGGTCCATCCCACCAACAAATGGCTTTTGTACGCTTTGTGGGCCAGAGCAGAGACTCTCTGCTCAGTACCATGGATGTTCTCCCAAACACTGAGCAACAACTACCACTCCACGACATCAGACACCAATAAAAGGGATGCCTACCTTGCTAACAGCTATTATAATTGCTGCTGTTGCAGAATGCGATGGTGAGATTTTTGGAGGAAGTGCAACAAGCTATGAGAGATAGGCAGAGGCAGGACAAATATTTATAAAAATGCTGTGTAACAACTCAAAAACTTTTAAAGGATTTGGCTTAATGCATGGCCAACTTCCTTGTCCAACTCCCCGAAGTCTGGATGCAGAATGGAGTCGATTACAAAAAGCCAGAGAAGTTATTGACTTATAAACGTATTTACTGCAAATGGCAAGTCCGTCTTTGTTCAGCATTAAAATTTAAATGCAGTAAGGTAAAATAGAATAAAGCAGAGCTCACCTGAAGAGGCTGAAGAATCGTAAGTACTTCTGTCCTTCCTATTTGTCCTGAAGGGCTGAATGTCCTTTTCCCTGTAAGTTCCAAACCCTTCAAAGCTTCTTCTTTTATTCCCACTTGCATCGTTGTCCCGCTTCTCACTCGAGGAATTCATTTCACCAAACATGTCCAGGGACTCTGACCTTCCATTACTCTCAGTATTACCAGAGTATCTCTTTGTGCAAGAGTCAATGGGATCATTGCTTGAGTCACTTTTATCTTTACTCTGTGTCCACTGCTGGGCATCAGAAAGTGATAACGTAGACAGCGTATCCACTTCAAAGTTACTCTTTGAGCTTTTGTGTCCAGTTTCACAATGCTGGTGCTTCTGCTTCTCCTTATGCTTGCTCTTCTCGTTGAGCAAGGAGAGGTCTTTATCTGAGCCACTTAGCCTTTCGTTGATCGCATGGCTGGAGAAGCCAGTGGACTTGCTAGCAAAGAGACCACTCAGATCTTCATGTGTCCCCAATATCCGCTCATCCTTATGCTTGTGCTTATGTTTGTGTTTCCTTTTGTGAAGTCGGCCACTTGAAAGGCTTGTTCCTCCAACCTTTGGAGGAGCCAAAGAGGACTGCATGTCTCCAAGGCCCATTCCCACAGGTGTTTGTAGGTGCACTCCGTGTTTTGCTTTATGCTTGGCAGTGGTGGACATCTTCATATGAGAGCTTGCATGGAATTGGGGTGGGGGCACGGTAGGTCTCATAAATGGGGAAGCCGCTCCGAGCGTGTGAGACAGGTACAAAGGAGCTGGATACTGACCATAGTAACCAAGATTCATCATAGGCATTGATGTGTAAGGCATTCCATAGGGTGCATAGTAACTCCCACTGGGAATAGGGTAACCGAACCCTTGTAAAAAAGGCACCTTTGTCATGGTGTCATTGGTTTTGGCAGGTCTACCACGCTTCTTCTTAGACTTCATGTCAGAGGTCCTGCGAAGATAGAGCAATGGGTCATACTGGATATATGGCACAGGGTAGTAGTGATCAAAATTAATCCTGAAGATGCTGGGATATGGATTTTCATGATAAAATGTGTAACTTCTATGGGAAATCCTGAACACTTGAAACTTATTGATGAGTTCCTCAAGGTCTGCCAGAAACTGGAGGTCATCTCTGTTCTGCAGGCTTTTCCTTTTCCTCTTGTGCTTTGGCTTTTTAATACTCTCATGAGAGAGAAAGTTATCCACGATAAGATGTTTCTGCCGGTGACCATGCCTGTTCTTTGTGCTGGTGTCAGATGGGATAGCCTCTGGATTGTCCAGGGTGCAGAAATCAAAGGAGTATCTCCGGCGGGATTCTGAGCTTTTCTCGGCTTGGTCGGAAGTGCTGTTGTTGTCTGTACCTATCCCACTGTCGCTCGGTATGGTTTCCTCGCTATGAGACTCACTCACCGGCGACAGTGTGACTTCTTTCAGAGAACCTATTTCACAGAGGTGGGAAGGTGAATTAGCCATTAACCTGGGTGGAGACAGCTTCCAAGTTCCACTGTGCATTCCTTTCTGGGTTTTTGTAGGAAGAGCACTGATAGGTTGAAGATTTGGCATAGTTTTTAACTCTGAAAAATTTGTTTCAGTGCTTGCAGGGCTAAGGTTGCCATTAGTCCCCACTAACTGTGTCGAAAGCGGATGAATAGCTGCTGGTGACGATGCCACAAGTGACTGCAGGTTGGAAGGCACTGCTGGGTTTTCTGGCTGGCTGGAAACAGGCCTTGAGTGCTTGATGGCTGTCTTAGGTTCTTCTGGCTGAGGCTGCAGCTCTGCTCTTGGCTTTCTGCCCCGTTTTTTACCAATGTAGATAGTCCCCCTCTTGCTGACATTGATCTGCTTCCCTAGTCTGGCATCAATGGTGGTTGGCCCAGCACTAGACGGTGGCTGGACTTTTGCTTTCAGAGCTATGCTGCTGGAGCAGGAGGACAAGATCTGATTGAGAATATTCTTCCTCTTGAGGGTCTTCATTTTATTAATGGTCTTGATGGTCTTCTTATCCAAGACCCCAAGCTTCCCGACCTTTTTGTGAAACTTGAGTTCACTGATGGACTTGTCCTCTCCCGGAACCATCTGGGCCAACTTGGCCAGATTCCGTCTCCTCTTCCTTTTCTTTGTTCCTGGAAATTCGCGATTGATTGGACTCACCGGGCTGGTGGAGGTTCCCTCATGAATGGTTTCAACAGTGAGCAAAGGCTGTTTCTTTGGTCGTCCTCTTTTTTTCTTGACAGGTGTGATCACAGTAAGACTGTCTGTATTGGTATACAGAGGGCTGGACGGTGTGATGGGATAGGCTGAAGGAGGCTCCACCATTAGCTTCTCAGATGTTGTCATGGAGGTCTCCCGAAGGATAGATTTAGGTTTGCTGCAGGTCCATCGCCGCTTAGCTGCGTGTTTGGGGTGCTGGACTTCAGATAATTTGCCAGCTGTGGGAAGATCGGTGGGTAGGAGAGTGGATGTCACAGCTACAGATTTTCTGAGTCTGGTGGCACTGTTGGGGGAAACTTTGTCAGTGAGCACACTGCTGTCAATAGCTACTAAGGGGGACTCATTTTCAATCACTTTCCCTGGCTTTGTGGCTCGAAGATCTTTTTTACTCCCCTCTGGTTGAGAGCTAGTCCTGTTTGCTACTTCACTGCTCATAGCAAGTCCAGAAGGCAGGCTTTTCTCTTGGATAGTTTTCTCTATGGAAGATTTTGTGGATTGCCTTTTTTTCCTTTTGTGGCCAGATATATCTGTTGTCGGAGACTTTATTGGGATAGTAATTCGTACGTGACTGGTGTCACTTTCACAACTGCTAGCAGAAGTGGGATTCTGCTTTGAGGGTGATGTATCCAACACACTGTCCATTGAGTAAGACTCCTTTTTCCCTTCCATGCTGTCATGGGATTTGCTGTCAAATGCTTTCTGAGCACTCTTCACCCATTCGATGTCTGCGGTTGGGATGGTTTGACTTATCAAGTCCTTTTTGCTGGACTTCTTCTTTGTACTCCCGGCGGGCTGATCGGGGACCTCCAGCTGCACTCCTCCCTCTTGATCACCGAGAGGCAAAAGCCCATTGCACTCGGAGGCGCCGCTCGGCTGGGCGGCCGTGCTGATGTTGTTGGGTGATGGGACTGCACTGCAAATGGCAAGCTCTTTACTACTGGCCGACAGCTGCCCCCACGTGCTACTGGTGCAGGACTTCTTTGCTTGGGATTTGCTGAAGGAAACTCCTGGCTCTGGAGCGGAGACCTTGGTGGCACTAACTGCTTCTCGACTGGGTTCTGTGTTGATGAAGCAACTTTGAGAAGCGGATCCGGTGTCGGAGCTCGCTGACCAGTCAAGATGGTGCTGGTTGCTACTTTTCTGCTGGTGCTTTGATTTTAAGGTGTCACCGGTGAAGTCTTGTTGGATACCCGGATCATAGTGCAGAGCAGAATGTTTTTGTGGCCTGTCATAAACCTGAAAGGTAGCAGAAAATAAACAGAAAGAAAAAAAATTAGTTTATCAGTCCATTCATAAGCCCTGGTTGCAGCTTTTTATTTGTACAGTGAATGACAATTCTTCTTATCCAATGTCTTTGTAAGGGTTAGGAGCCTTTATAAAGTCTTCTCATACTTCAGCCAAATTTGCATTTAGATTCGTGCGCTGTAAACAAGTTTTGTTTTGCTGTCCCACTCTAAAAACAATGGAAATATTTCTATAAATGCTAAATTGCGAAGGAAACATAGTCTATTGATTTTTAATTTAAAACACAAGTAAAATATTCCCTTTCAATGGATGAATGGTGCAATTCAGCCTCCTGGTGAGAATCCCTTTTTCCTAAAAAAATAATCCCTCACAGAACTTGATGCTCAACAACAGGAATTAAGCTCATTGTCGTAAACAAGAAAAATGCAAAATTATCTCGGAAGTTGTAAGAAACGAGAGGAAAACCCATGGGTCCTCTTTCCAAGGAAGCCAGAATCTGCAAAGATTTACTTGCTTAAATTTCTACATAGAAGTCATCCCCACTAACTTAGTGCTTAAAATCGTATGCATAGCATCAAGTGCGTGAGGCACACTTGGCAGGTTCAAGATTTGCATTACTCCCTTCCCATTTTAATAATCTGCTATTTGCAATGTTGGTAAGATGTATTTTCAATATGATTTCTAATCCGACAGCAGCTCTTCAAGCTGCAGAGGTTACAGTAAGGGCAGAATTATGCTGAAGACTGTTATAGAGCAAAAGAAAGACTACTTTTTGTTCTTGGTGGGCCTCCTTCAGCTAAAGAAATTATGTTTGCTACAGCTGTAACCTTTTGAAAAGACTCTTAAAGAAAAAAAAAAAAAAAATTATTTTCATTAACTGACCTATTTAGCCGTTTGTTTTCTCCTGTTACATTTAGGAACTTTTTTTGTAAAGCTCTGGATCAAACTGTGCGAACTGATTTTGTACACCTAGTACCGCAAACAACTGTTCTTAGTGAACTGTAATGACACCGTTCTGAATGCCAAATAAAGACTTAAAATAAATGTGTAACCAAGGAAAGAACAATAGAAAACCACTGCTAAGTGTCTTGTGTTTCTGCAAACACCCTGTTACAATTAAGTTTCTATCAGCAGCATTACATTAGATCCCCATTCGGGGTGTTTGCGACAGAGGTTTTGGGGCAAGGAGGCTGTCAGGATAAGAGGGTTTTGAGCTGGGAAGCGAGCTGTCCCCAGCTCTGAGCAACTTCAGAGGGACTTGAAAATTGCTAAAATCCCCTAAGCCCATGGTGCGTTATTTAGTGACCAGTAAACATACGTGCTATTGGCAAATTGATGTCGAGATACCCTTCACGTGCATATAAAAATGGACATGTGGCCTTTCTGGAATAGGCAATAACGATGAAGCTGTTCTGGTCCATCATATGAGGAGTAATCAGGGACTCTTAAATCCTGTGGATAGTTCAGCTGTCGTGCACATGGACCAGCCATGCTCAGGGAAAGCAGAGATTTCCAGGAATTGCGGAGTGAGAAAATGAAAGAACGCAGCTGCGGTGGAGCTGCAGATGTCGCGGGCGAGCGACACCCGGTTTCTTCAGCCTGAGAAAAGAGCTGAAAGCATAAACAGCCCTCGGGGAATGAATCAGTTCCTCCTCCTCCTCCTCCTTGCAGCGGCCTCCCGTGCGCGAGCCACACAGCGTGCAGCGGCCGCGAACCATGCCGCTGATGCCCTCCGTCGGAAAATGGAGCCCGCCCGCGCCCACGTCCTTGGGATGAGGCCAGGGAGGGGTCGAAAGGAAATTGGCAGCACTGGCACTGAAGTTTGATAGTTTGGTTTTATCTTAATTTTTTTAAACTGATCACAAAGCTCCTGAGCTTCGTTTTACCTCAGCCATCTGGGGCTTCTCCTGCCCCCGGGCCACCAGGCTGGGTGATCCTGGGCATGAGGAGGTGTGCGGGAGGTGGCCATCCCCTGGTGAGGTCCTGGGGGGCTGGAGGTGGGTGTCCTTCACCCAAGCCTCACATGAAACATTATCTTCCCAGGGTACCATGACTTGTAACTTGGAAAAGCCCTGGAAATGATGCGCTGAGGGCTCTCTTGGGCCCCAGGACCTGCACCGAGGCAGGGCCAGGCTCTTTCTGCACAGATCCTGGCCTTATGGCTGCAATCAAAGCAACTCCTGACACCCACGTTATTTCCAAAATGCTGAGCTGTGAAACTAAATGACCTGAAAAATATCATTTAAAAAAAAAAAAAAAAAGGGGTTACAAAAGTGAGTGTAAACATCACACGCTGGCAACACCCTGGTCCCTCCAAGTCCACCACACACAGAGAAATCTCTAGCTTAAAAGGAGCTATAATCTCTGATCTATATTTTAAGGCAGTTAATAAGGGCGCAGAACTGAGAGGCCAGCTATATATCAGCGATGAATGCTGATATATCGCTTGGCTCCTCCAGCCTCATTTCCTCGGTCTGCACATTATAAAATGATGATGCAACTTCCAACATATCCCTAATGATAGCCTTGTCATTACTCCAGCACCGCAGGCCACCACATCTATCTTACAATTCATGGGAAAGATATGCCTATGTCATCAAAGGTGCCAACTCTGGAGGCATTTAATCACACGGATAAGCACTCCGATTTCAACAGGCCTTCAAAAAATGACCAGTCTGCAGGATCAGGGGACTCCATTTCCTAAGCGGGATGTCAAAACTATATATCTGCCCAAGCACATAACAGTCCACTGGGTTTCCTCATGCAACTTCTTCCAGCATAACATTTACCATTCACACTCCCTTGCCAGACATGTCCATATCACCCCAAAATAATTCTTCTGCAGCACAGCAACCAGAGATCATTTGGCTGCAGCAGGCTGGGTTTCACTGGCTGCAATGGATATGTGGGGACTGTTTACCTAAAAGCACTACTAAATCAGTTGAAAGTAATGCAGCCAAGTGTATTTTATTCCCTGTGTGTCCATCTGGGTTGCTGTCTGATCCCACTGGTCCTAAAGTTTAGGCTTCAGTTTTCCCTGCTGGGTAAGCACCACCCTAAGAAGTCGACAAGCCCCAGCTCAGCTAACCTAAGCCTCTGCTGAGCTGGCGGAGGATGCCAGAGCTGTCAGTAGGGCGAGGGAAAACAGAGATCTTCAGAAACCTGTATCTTGATGCCTTTCATACAAACTCATTACTTTATTCATCAGTAAGCGTGCAATACACTCCTGCTCCATAGGTCTTGGCAAGGGGCTGTTGACTTGAACAGAGTTCCTATGGCAGCACGGCCGAGACCGGCATCAAGAATAGTGGGCTTTTTTATGAAAACGGAAAGATTTACCTTTATTTACTCTTTGGTTTATGAGACTCTAAAAATACTTGAAACTTCAGCGCCTGCCTCTGTTTGTAGTTTGCCCTTTCATTAAATGGGATTTTTTTCAGCAGCTAGCTATTCTGTACTGGGAGTCTGCTCCTTCTTTTGTCAAAGTAGAAGCGTAACTTAACCCATGCAATTTTATCACATCTCACCAGACTTGGTCAATATTTCTCTTGGTATTCAGTTTACTGGATGTGCTTAGCGGGTAATAATCCCATCTTTCCTTTAAAGAAAATAAAATACACATAAAGAAGCTAATAGTTTTCGTAATTGCAAAGAAGTTTGAGCAACATGATCCAGCACATGCTAAACCTTAGACTAAAAAAATAAAGTTTGATTCCTCTTATTAGTAGTACATGATTTTAATGGCATACTCATGAGTTTCAGTCCTCAGCTTTGGCAATGGTGGGTAGACCTATGAGCAGGATACATCCCATACACTGGCAAGTGAAGGCTGTGTGTTTACACCTGTCTTGCCAGACCTGTGCAACCCTGCACCTACAGAGGCAATTACTCCTCTTAATAGTTTTATTCTGGCATGCAGCCCTTGTAACTGAGGGGATGAGACTGTATCAGTCCCATGATGTGCGGCACCCTACTCTGCAAACAGTACCCGGCAGCAGAATCCATCCCTCAGGGACTCTTTTCATTTAACTACTGGATGCCTCGCTCTGCCTCCCTGTTCCCTTGCCTGAGCTTCTCTCTAAATCCACACGCTGCTTCCAGTCCCAAAGCAAAAAGTGGGAGGAGATGCCAGCAACCAAATCAAGAGCTTAGTAAAATAATAATAAGAAAAAAATCCAAATAAAAATGAATATAACTAAAAATAATAATAATGATGAAATATGCAATTAGAGAAACCCATCACCTGAGAAAAATCTGATTGTTTACAGGGGACGGTACCCCCCTGCTCCAAACGCACCTTTTTGAGGAGGTAACACACATACAGCTTGTCAAGAATCTGGCTTGCAAATCAAAGTTAATACTACAACGCCCCCTCTTTAAATCATTCGCAGATCCATCTGTGTAATGGCTCCTCAAGTGTAATTCCCTATTAAGAGGCTTTATCTGGAGAGATAAGCAGCTGGTTCCCATGTCACTAATTGCTGTCTGCTGTGATTTTAAAACATCTGCACCATTGTGCTCTTCATTTTCATATTCTAATCACCCTGAAACTTGAAAAAGGTACATCATTGATTGTTTCTGTGGGTTAATTAGTACACAGTCTCCTTGTAGAGACAATTTAAAGGCAGTCAGAACCTCAATCAGCAAGTTTGTTTTAAAAATTAATAACATCGGGAACGTCTGTGGGGATTGGCATCCACAGTGACACATCAGAGTGTGCTCTGGGGACATACCATCCTTTGTTATCTTCTTCATAGGCTGGAAATAAAATTAAAAAAAAAAGAAAAAGAGGAAAGGCTTTCCTAAATGAGTAATGTCACTTAGAATCAGAGTCTTGGAAAGTGCTTGCTTTTACCTCAGGGCCACCCCTGCCTCTCCTGCAAGAATGAATTTCATCAAAATGCTGTATAATACCTCTGTGTGGTCTAGGAACTTGTAAGGCATTTTTGGTAGCGATTTTGGCAACCGGGAGCTGGCATCTTATTGGAAAT